CGTTATAAACAACCCCAACATATTCAGAAAGTCAATATTATTTCGAACCATACAATTCGGATGCCCACAATATAATATGAGATAGAGATCGTCTCAGGTTTTAAATTCTCCTGTGTTTTACACAAAATACTAATCAATTCCTCAAAGTTCAATTCACATGAAACATTAATGACAATAGTATCATTTTCATATTTGCACAGTAACAAGACTGCACTATCCATCTAAACTAAAGGGGAAAAAAATAAATAATAATAATAATAATAATTTGTTCAATATTAAAACACATAAAAAGCACAACATAAAAAATAACATAAACATACAAATTTACACAAAAACAAAAACATATTCACATCAAAACACAGAATGCTAACTATTTAACAAAAACACAATAAAATCCACAGAGAAAATCAAATTTAATCATAAAACATTGAAATAAGTCCCTAATCTATATATCTAATCTAGAGGACATTAAAAATCAAAAATAAAAAACTTATAATAACATGTCCAAATAAAATTATAATTTTTTCTGGACTACAAATAAAAGTTCAGAGAGATTTACAAACTTATATTCACTTTCAATATCACAAAAACACATTAACATCAAAAGACAAAAATGCTAATTATTATGCACAAACATAGAGAAAATCATAGTGAATATCTGTTTTGCTCACAAAACATTCAATTGAGAAAATTAAAAATAAAAAAATAACAAACTTGTAATAACATGTCCATAAGAAATTACAATTTTCTCTGTGATTTTCACTGGACTATAAACTTACAATTTTCTCTGTGATTTTATCTGGATTAAAAACTTATAATAATATCCATATGAAATTATAATTTTCTCTGTGATTTTCTTTGGATTATAAAAACAAACTTATAATTTTCTCTGAACTACAAAAAAAAATGCAGAAAAAACAGAGAACAAAACTTAGAGAACAAAAAATGATAAGCATGTTGATGAAAAAACAGAAAACAAAACTTATCATTGATAAGCATGTTGATGAAAAATAGAGAACGAAAAATGAACTCCAAAAATCAATCAACTCCACTGAGTTGGATTCTCTCTGAAATTGATCAAAAAATAGAGGATGAAAATTGAACTCCAAAAATCAAAATCAACTCCATCGAGCTACCCTCTCTCTAAAATTGATCAATAACAGAGAATAAAAAATCAACTCCAAAAATCAAAAACAACTTCACTGAGCTGGCATTTCTCTCAAATTCATCAAAATTGAAAACAAAAACCTAATTCAAAATACACTCGAAAAACTAATATGAAATTGGAATCCTTATATACAAATCAAATCAAAAATCGAAATCCATATGGAATCTTCATCGAAACATACCTGATTCAACTCCATTTGAAATCAAAACAAAAGATATTTAACACCACTGCAACACTTACACGATCGCTGCAATCTCCTACAAAATCTCCATCGTCAAATCCACTACAACACCTACAAAATTCCTACGAAATCTCCTACAAAATCTCCATCGTCAAGCCCATTCCCATGAAATCTCCTACAACACTACAACAAAATGCACTTTTGGTGACTAAAATTGGTGACTAAAAAAAAAATTAGTCGCCAAAAGTTGTGAAATTGGCAACTAAAAATTTTTTTAGTTGTCAAAAGTACGATATTTAACTACTAATTTTTTTTAGTTGGGATATATTCATTATTGGTGACTAAAAAAAATTAGTCGCTAAAAATACCAGAATTGGTGACAACAAAAAAAATTTGTCGTCAAATAGTTAGTTTTGGCTACTAAAATCATTTAGTCGCCGAATGTAAAAATAAAAAATTATTTTTTATCTTTGGCGACCAAAAATTTGGTCGCCAAAAATATATTTTCAACGACTAAAATTATTTTTTTCGCCAAAGAACTAAAATATTTGGAGGGAAATATTTCAAATTTTGGAGGGATTTATGAAATTAATTAACATTTGCCGACAAAAAAACCAATTTGGTCGCCAAAGGTGTGAAAATTTTAGACAAAACAGATGGTTCTCTGTTTGGACAAAATAGATTGTTCTCTCTCACACAGATGCTCCTTCACGACCAAACATCACCCACCTCTTTTCATCGCAGACGGTCACTCACTCTCTCTCTCTCTCTCTCTATAACCCAAACAAACCAAACAAAAATGGAGAAATCAGAAGAAGAAGAGTAAATGCAAGAGTAGACTAGGCGTATCATGAGGAGGGTTCAACAATCACAACATGCAAAGAAGTTGGTGTAATTTGACGAAGAAGAAGAAGAAGAAGAAGAAGAAGAAGAAGAAGAAGAAGAGCACGATCGAAAGAACAGTGGGATTGATTGGAGTGACAACGGTGGTGGACTCTATCAAATCTATTCAGTTCCGACAGGCATTCTCTCATGCTGTCACTCTCGGTTCCTTCTCTAACACCCCTTTGTCGATTTATACACATTCATTGATCTTTTTGTTTATTTGGGATTTCAATTTACACAAACTATTTCTAATATTGAAAATCTGATGTTTTCTACGCCACCCGCCAGATGTTTGCTTCAATGTTTCATAGAATTTTGAAATATGTTAGTTCCATAGTTTTGGGTTCGGTCAATCATTTGTTGTTTCTTTGATAAACTCTAGTACTGTGGGATACATACAGGTTGTGGACAAATTAATTAAAATAAAAAATATATAAAATGATATTTTTGGCGACTAAACAATTGGTAGCCAAAAATGGAGTTAAATATTTTTAGTGACTAAGTAGTTAGTAGCTAAAAAAAGAATTAAATGGAAACAAACCTTTTGGCGACTAAACATTTAGTAGCCATTTAAAAAAAAAAGATTTTAGGCGACTAATGATTTAGTAACCAAAAAAAAATAAAAATTTTTGGCGACAAAAATTGTAGTAACTGAAAATGTGATGTTAAATTTAATTGTAAGCTTTTGGTAACTAAAAAATTAGTAGCCAATTTAGCCTTTCAGCGACTAAAGTTTTTTTTGTCGCCAATACCTTTTACTTTTGGTGACTACTTGTTTAGTCGCCAATTTACGACTTTCGGCAACTAAAATTTTTTTAGTCGCCAATACCTTTGTCGACCGTCTTTCCGCGACCAAGTTGGCAACCAAACTATTTATCGGGAAAACCTTTTGGCGACTAAAAATATAACTTTTGGCGACTAAAAATTTAGTCACCAAAAGTGCAATTTCTTGTAGTGATAGTTGTGGTTATCATGAAATAAGTCTTAATAACATAAATCCAATACACTGTCTTGGCAAACAACAATAAAATTAAATTAAAAAAAAAAACCATAATAAACATGTTCATGTTAGCAAGATGACTATTTTTTATTTTTTTGCAATCCAAAAGAAAACAAAAAAAACAACGGGGATTTGCATAACCATGAGGTGATTAGCAGCTTGGAGTACTTGAATTATGGGTATCTCTGCAATTGAATCTCCTTCAGCTATATGCATTTGCAGCGAAAGACCTAATAATTACAAAACGCATACTAAATGTAAGGAGGTGCAATATATCAATGAACAATATAAGTACTAAAAGTATAGGTGATTTAGACTTTGTTGTTTCAATAGAAAAATATTCTTTTGTATTTGATTCCGATCTTAAAAATGATGGTGTGTTGGTTGTAATAGTGGTGGTGTAGGTGATGGGAGAGTGAGTGGAGTAGTGGAGACGAAGATTGTGGCAACCTCAAGAATAATGGTATGTTAGAGCAACTCCAACTCTTAATTTTTATTTTTGTCAAATTTAAATTTGATAAAAAAGTGTTCAAAAATCCTATCCAATCTATTTATCAAATGTTGGGTAAGGCTATGGTACACATTTTTGTAGTACATATGTTATGCATTTTTATGATAAATGTTATGTAATTTTTTTCATATAGTTACGACAATTTGTGTTTCAGAAATAAAATTACATATTTTGTGGTAATGCTAGGCATTTTTGTGATAATGTTACAAATTTTTTTGTTGGAAAATGTTTGAATAAAAAAAATGTAACATTACCACAAAATGTGTAAGTTAATTTCTGAATTACAAATTAACGTAATTCTACTAAAAAATTACATAATATTTATCATAGAAATATATAATATTTATCACAAAAATACGTAACGTGATGCATACAATTTCTCTCCAAACATCCATCAAATCAAGGGAGAAACAATTTTTTTGCATCAAATTAAAATTTGATAAAAATTTTAAAAATGGAGTATTGAAGATGATTTTTTTTTTTCATCAAATTTTGACGATAGGATAAATAAACATTGCAATTGAGTTGGGGACAAACTTGGAATTTAATTGAATTGAATTGGCAGCAAAAAAAAAAAAAAAACACACACACACACACACACAACTCGAATAACATGATTTGAAAACCTAAAATTTAAAAAGAGTTTTGAATTTTTTTTTAATCTAAATCATGATTTGAAAACTTAACCAAACGCTATTCTTATCTTTCAAAACACAACTCGAAACTCAAAACTAATTTCAAAAACTAAACCAAATGGAGCAATATTTTTTTATAAGTGTGTTTAGTATGAAAGTAATAGAAGTAATAAGGAAAATATAAGAAAATTTAAATTTGTTAAAAGAGTAATCATTTATAATAAAAATTCATATTTTCTTGTAAAATTTGCATCCTAATCAAATTCATACAAAAAAATTATTTTATTTTATTTTCCTTTTCTTTTCTTTCACTTATTTTTACTTTTTATCATTTATTTCTTTCTAATCAAACAGAACCTAAGTAGCATGATAATTTATTTTAAAACGTGACATTTTTAATCCCTAAAATATGAATTGTTTGTTATTTTAGTCCCTTAAATTTTAATTTTATCATTTTAATTATTAAAATTGTCAATATAAAAAGTAAAATGATAAAATTAAAACATAAAAAAATAAAATGACAAATAACCCACCCTAAAACTCTCCTATCCTAAATCTACTCTTTTTAAACTCTGAAATAAACAAACACATGCAAACCTGAAAGTAAATTGACCTGCCATTCAACTTTGAGATTCATTTTTATCTTCCCTAACCCCTACGTTTTCCACCTTCCGATTGAAATATTCTTTAAGATTGCCGATTAGAGTAATATAACTTCGTTTTCCGATTCGGGACCAGAGCGAGACATCAGGGATATGCTCGACGATCCAGTAATCTTTTCCTTGGTTGGGTTTGGATTCCATTCTATCTATGAATTCTTCTGGCATACCAACAAACTCAAGAGCTTTGAGGTTTCTAAGGTGGTAGATGCCAGATGGTACCTTCTTTAGTTGCGGGCTAGGCTCAATCCTTAGATCTTTAAGAAGAGGCAATGCTCCTTCCTCTATTATCATTGAATTCAATCCCTTGAACCCCACGAGATCTAGTTGCTTAAGTTTTTGAAACTTTCCGACCTCAAAATACAACTGCTCCTCATCATATGCATCCCAAAGAACAAGACGTACTAAACTAGGCAAGACTTGAAGGGCTTTTAGTGGATCGCTCTTGGTCAAACCTGAACCCACTAGACGTAATGTAACTAGATTTTGAAGTTTCAGGATCCAGTCGGGCAACTTCTCTAAACGCCCACCCAACTCGAGACGTTGAAGATACCGAGGTGGAGATGATGATGATATATACTGTAAATCCAAAATCTCATTATCACTTGAGGCCATTACATTCAAACGTTGAAGGTATTTCATCTTCTCAATGGCTGCACATAGAGCCCTCCTGTTTGAGTAATTTTCTTACCACACTGCCCGCCTAGTAATCAGTTGGAGAACACCGGCAGAATAGATGGCTCCAGTAACCTGTAACAGAAAGAAAGGGCTCCGGCGGTGGCTCCTCCACCCGGGGGCACTCCGACGATCAAGTCAGTATATCTCTCAAAGATAATCAAGTGCTAAACTCACAAGCTTGAGTATCAAACTACGTACCTTAGACCCATGGGGGTGCCTCTCTTTTATAGTTAACTCAATCCAAGTCCTATTAGAAGCATGACTTCTATAGACTTCAATTTAGTGATTACTTAGGATTTCTCAAGAGATAAAGATAAACTCCCTAAGAGCTTTATCCTTATCTTGACTAAGTCCCCTCTTTGTCCTAGGACTCCTGTTCCTTATCTGCTTATCTCGGATTCCGATATCTTCGGAGACAACCTCGGCAACTCCGAGATCACCTCGGCATAATTGCCATGACACGTGGTACCTCGGCCAAACACGTCGGCGTTGTCTTGCCACGTGTTGGTACCCAAGAAATATATCCCCACACCTCCCATGTTCTCTTTCCAATTTCATGATTCCCAACTTCCTTAGCTGTCTCAATTTCTCAAGCTCTTTAATTAGGCCATGATTTGTCTCCATATACCACAAATTTTGCAGCTCCTCTAAACCCCCAATCCCTCCATGTATCTTCACTCCTATAATATAGTTGAAGTATTCAGATATAGAGTTACAAGAATAGGCAATAAGATGTCGCAACTTATGGAGCCTATTGATATCAAATGGGAGCTCTCTAACCCGGCAATGTTTCAGATCCAAAGTATGTAGGTTTTGCAGCTTACCTATGGCCTTTGGAATTATCTCCACTCGTGTGCTCCTTATGCTTAGGTATCTCAAAAGAAATAGATTTCCCACTTCTTCATGAAGTTGATCCAAATGAGCATCCTCAAGATCCAACACTTTCAAAAGCTTGAAATTTGCAGCTACTGTACCCAATAAAGGCTTCTTTGGCAGCTCTCCCTCTTGAAAAAGAAAAATAGAACGAATTGGGGATTTACCAATGCTTTCCATAACCTTATCCATGTTGCAGTAACGCATATGCACAGATAGCCGCCGAGTTGTGCCATTGAAACTTGAATTCTCTTCTTCCAAAATTTGACACAAACTATACTCCTTGGACATTGAGAGAATAATCTCACGCACTACATCATGTACCCGACACTCTCTAACTCTTCCAACAAATTTTGTTTCTGACACTTGAACTAAGCGTCTATGGATCAGCTCAGTCAAGTATGCTTCTGCAACTTCTTCCAATGTTTTTCCGTTCTGCTCTTCAACAAAACCCTCAGCTATCCATAGCCGAGTTAGTCTCCCAGCTTTGATAGAGTAGTCTTCTGGCATTATGCCAAAGTACAAGAAACAAGATTTGAGGTGGTGAGGCAGATCATTATAACTGAACAACAAAATTTTGCTAATGCTTTTAAGTTCAGGATTCCTTTCCAACTCAGAGTTCATGCTACCATAGAATTTTTGCCATTCGGATATACCTTTGTTTTTGGTGGACAAGAGACCGCCTATAGCTACAATTGCTAGTGGCAAACCTTGACACTTTCTAACAATTGCATGTGATACTTCCTCCAACTCAGGGGGACAATGACCCTCAAAGTCCAATTGGAAGGTTTTCTTGCAAAAGAGTTCCCAAGCCTTCTCTTCGGATAGGGCTTCAAGCTCATGGACATGATCCACTGAAGTTTCTTTGCAAAATGTAGCAACCTGTTCACTACGTGTGGTGATGATTACCCGACTACCGGCACTATTTTTTGGGTAAAGCATGTCTTATGGATCTCCAAAAATCAGTTTCCCATACATCATCAAACACAATGGCGTGCCTCTTTTCGGATAAATATCCTCTTAACTTGTTAATGAGTGACTCAATTCCCTCGTCAGGGAGAACATTGTTTCCTGATAGCTGCTTTATCATTTTTTTGAGAAGCTCCTCTGGCTTGTATGATTGAGAGACAGTGATCCACGCTTTGCAATTGAAGTGTGCAACCACTTCTTGGCTGTCATAAACTTTCTTGGCAAGAGTGGTCTTGCCAATTCCACCCATGCCAACCACCGAGATCACTGCTCGTTGTGATTGATTTTGGTCAACCAATCTGCTTATTAGTTCATATTTGGGAGATTCAATGCCAACGACTTCGTCATCCCCTATGAAAAGGGAAGCCAGTCGAGGGTCACGCCACATGTTGTCCTTGGTGATGCTGCTAGTGCCGGTGCTGCTATGTTCTGTGGAAGTACTAGTGCTAAATCCATATCGATCAACTCCTTCCTTGATCTCACGGATTGTAGTCTTGATGTCTTGGATCTGAGAAGCTATCTTATGTCGTGGCTTTAGCTTAGTGATCGTCTGAGTGACTTTATACAAGGAACCAAATAGTCCAGATTGTTTTGGCAAGACCAAGAGAATGTGTTCATCTATAACATCTTGTATCCAATAAGCAACTTGCCTTACTTGTTTCACCCATATTTTCACACCTTCATCTCCAATTTATGCTCTCGATTCTGCATCTTTTAAGAAATAGTGTATGCGCTCCAATTCAGCTTTGATACTGACCATTTCCTTGCGAACACCCCTCAACAACTCTACTTCACCGGCTAACAATGATCCCAAATATTGAATAACGGAGATCACTGCTCTTTCTGCCATTAGTTCTCCCTGCACTAAGCTGAACACACCATCCATCACGATTAGTTCCAATTATCCTTAGTATTGTGTGTGTGTGTGTGTGTGTCCATGTAGAAAGGAAGTTAGATGAATGTATATGGGGGAGAAAAAGTTGAAAAAAATTAAAATTTAAAATAAAAATCTTAGTCAGTTACATAGGTCAATTTGGACATGAAAAAATGTGGTGCACTGTCACACAGGTGTTCACATCAAGTGAATTTTGCGGCAAGTGCAAATAGATTACGTTTAAATTTTTGGATAGTATGATGATTGAGGAAAACTAATAACAGCTTTCGGCAGATTGATAAATGAAAATATATATATATATTTAACATATTGGATGTGACGCTTAATAGAAAGGGCAATATTGAAAAATGATATAAAATTTGACAACACCAACTCAGCTGTTTGTTTTATTTATAGAATTAATAAATAATATAAGGGCAAATTACATATACACCCCTCGAGGTTTGGCTAAATTACAAATACCCCCCTGAGGTTTGAGAAATTACAAATTCCCCCCTGAATGCTATATTTACATAAGAAATTAGGGGGTAATTTGTTATGAAATATAAACCTCAGGGGGTAAATTGTTATGAAAATACAAACCTCAGGGGGCGGGATGTAATTTCCGAAACCTCAGGGGGGTATCTGTAATTTTACCAAACTTCGAGGGGTGTATATGTAATTTGCCCTAAATAAATATAAATAGCTTTCTGTTTCGAGCTCCATTCAGAAGTTTAATAGCTAGCATTCTGTTTCAAGTGTTTGAAAAGAGGAATTTCAGTTTCATTTCAGTTGGGAATGGCAGAGTGACTGGGTTCTGGTTGGACAAATGGATGGGCGATGCACCATTAAAAGAGCTGTACAGTAGGGCTCTATTGTCTGTTCCTTAATAAGTTTAGACGTGTTTGACTTTTCATCTCTTGTTTACGGAGTTTCACTCAAGTTATTGTAGGGATTTTCATTTTGGTGGTGACTCATGAGGATAAACTTAACTGGGACTTTCATTGTAGTGAGGAGTTCTTGGTCAAATATTAAGGCCTAAGAAAAAAAATTGTTCATTGTGGTAGAGACATAGTTTCTTCTGTGTGGTGTGGTGCGGTGCAGTGCGGTGCGGTGCGGCTCCTTTCAAAGTTCATATTTTTTGTTTAAATTCAATAATTTAGCTTTGCATATTTGGATTATCCTTCCAATGGCGGTGTTGTGGACAGTTTGGAAGGTTCGGAATGATTGTCTTTTATAACATGAAGCCAGATTGGAACCAAGTGGTTGATATTGTTAAATTTAGTACTGCTCTGTGGGTGAAGGGAAATTGGATGTTTCGGAAAATTCAGTTAACAATTTTATTTTTCCATTTAGATGGGATAAAAAGTTGGAAGTGCAGGAAACTGAGGCGTCAAGGCTTCGGCTAAGCAGATTGGACCAGTTGTGCATTGTCTTCATTCATTCTGTTTGCTTCTTTGTTTGGTTATTTGGGTTTGATGGTGTGCCTCGGAATAGGTGTTGCTAATGTTTTTGTATTTTGTTTTTTGGGTTGGTTTTGTTGTGTTTGGTTTATCTAAGTTTGTTAACTTAGACCTGTTTGCTTGTGATTCTGTCTTGCAGCTTGAGATTTGCTTTTGGTTTGTGCCAACCTTGTTTGGGATAGGCCCTTTAGCATTGAAGCTGTTTTGGTTTTTTTATTTTAAATAAAAACTTATTTCTTTTGCCAATCACAAAAAAAGAAAAAAAAGAAAAGAAAAGAAGATATATAGATATAGATATATGCTTAAGTAGAATCTTGAGTGATTTGCCTCGTGGATTTAGGAAAAGCTATTCAACATGTGTGTGAGAGATGGAGACCCCATCATGAAAATATTGTTGTCATGGTTATCATATTGGGTTTATTATGTGATGTATTATTACAAGTGATGAAAATCGTTCAAATGTAGTTATGACAAATAAGATAGTAAACCCAGTGTCATACATCAAAAAGTGATGTGAAATGTGTTTGTAGAGAAACATACCAGCAGATTGATGTGCAACTCTGAGAAGAAATGACGTGACGATCTAAACATATGTGTTATTACTGTATTGAAAATAGATGAAGTGATGAGATTCATTCAATCAATTTAATTATAACAAATAAGATGATAACTTGATATAGGAAAAAAAGATGAGAAATATGTGTTCGTAGAAACATATACCCGCAGATTATACAAAAATCTTGGGAACTGCTTTTGTTGCTTTGTTAGATTTCAGCCAAAACTCTCTCTACTGTGTAGGAAGACTTCTTGAGTTATACAGTTTTGGGTCTTGATCTTGACTGATATCATGTTACCTCTCTGATCCATCCCTGAGAATATAACCTCCCTCAGCACAAGCCAAGCCCAAAATCAGCCCAGTGGTTCATTTTTTTAAATCAATGGTGAAGAGTCCAAGCAAGTTCTAAGTGGTTGTAGAGCATCTTCAAGCACATTTTCTGAAGCACATTTTGGCTTCACGTGGTTCAAAGTTGACTTCTTGGTTAAATAAAAAAATATTATAAATCATTCTACTGAAGAAAATTTTGAATTCGTTTGACAAACTTATTTTTCATTAAAAGATAACTTTAATCACTCTAAAAAATCATAAGAAATGTAAAAAAAAAAGATAAGATTGGGTCAAACAAACTAACCTTTTTTTTAACATTAACTTGGAATTGTATTAGATAAATATTACTTAAGTCAATTTGATAATTACAATTTGTATCAATTAAAAATTTAAGTGACTATTAAATTGTAGACTAAGAATTAAAAAAAATTAACATGATAATTACTTATAAGAGAGAACAAAATAACTAAGATTCAACATTGAATATTAAAACATTGAACATCTTGAGATTCACAAGATCCTAAATTTAATATGAATATTCAACATTAAAGGCCTCATGATTCACAAGTTTTTTAGTCATCTTTAAATAAACATGCCAATCCAGCGGGTCTCACTAAATCAACATATTTCATGTCAAGAACTTGATCTTTCGCCACGGTTGGACCACTTTGCAAGGGTTTACAACATTGAGTAGGTATGCAATTGGCAGTGAATTTCCTTAACCTATATCAGTAAGTAAATTGACACAAAGACGGAACATTACTTTTAATTTAAATGCTTACCAATCCAATAATTAGTTGCCAAAATCCAAAACAACGTATGTCATAAAGAATGGTAAATGAGGTATTGTACAACCTAAAATAAGGTTGAGAGACCTTAGGCATTAAAAAATATTATTGTGAATCTCTCCTCCTACCAAAAGTTGGATAGGCATCTTAGACTAATTTTCCCTATCCATATTTATATTCTATATCTATAATTTTAAATTTCAAAGTTACTTACATAGAAAGTCAAAAAATGAATTTTAGTCATATCTTTTATCAAAATTTAAGTTGTATCTAATTTGAAGTTAAAATTTTTTTAAAATAATATTTAAAATGTAATTTTATCCATATAAAATTTGAACATATTTGTATTTTTTTAAATAAAATAAAATATAAATATGACATGAAACACATGTGGGATAAATCTACTGGCCTATCTAGCCATATCTAACTTTAAAAAAATGTAAATAGAATTTCAAAACAAAAATTTAACCATACTTAATCTTACAACTAATTTAAAATTTAGAAGAAAAATTGAAATGAAATTTACCAATTATTATTATATAAAATAAGTAAAAACGTTCCACCTTTTTCAGGCTTGAAATGCCATCCCTTTTTTTTTCTCATTTTTCTGAATTTTAAATTTCTATAATACACATGTCATTCTATAATAATTAGTTTAAATACTCGTAATTATATACATATTATAACAATATTAGTATATCAAATTCGTTAGAGAAGCTACCATTAGATTTATGGAATAACAATCATCAGATTTATAGATTTATGAAATTATATAATATAAGCACAAAATTCGTTATGGAAATTGCCATCAGATTTGTGGAAAATCCCTTAAATTATGTTAATACAATAATTTTAAATTTGAATACTCCCTTACACATGTTAATAAATTGAACTAAAATATTTCATTTAAATGTTCATTCCGAATTATTCAATATAAATACTCCCTTGGTCATTTTTCACCGTTATTATCTACATTGAACCGTTCTTCGCCGCCTTCACTCAACCGAATTTTTCCACCTTGTAAATTGCTTGATATCTATCTTTAAGCAGTGGCGGAGCCACATGGTGACCGGGGAGTCACGTGCCCCTCCTGGATTCTTTTTTTCTTTTTTCTTTTTTTTTTACATATGTATATAAATAAAATTTAAACAAAATTAATATTTAGAATAAAATGTCAAGAGCATTTTTAAATTTATTGTTTTATTGAAAATGAAGTGACTATAACAAATTATATTTTTATGTATGAAAATTTTGTGAAAAAATCTCAATATAAAGGTAATATTCATTATTATTGACATGCAAATATAATTAATCTCACTATATATATGTAAAAATTACTAGAGTGTTAGTTATATTTGCATGTGGAGTTCATCCTTTATATGTTGTTTTACTATTAGTTAGTGATATCATATGTCAATAATAACGTGATATCACTATTATATGAAATTTTTACTCAAATTTTGTAAAAATCTGATTTATCTTACCATTACACTACAAAAAAATTTGTTTTTTGCGACGGTAAACGGCTGTCGCAAATGCTCCCGGAAGCCGTCGCTAATGCCTTTTGCGACGGTAATGTGGCTTTTTGCGACAGTAAGGGGGGGTCGCGACAAATGGGGTTGCAAAAGACCTTTCGCGACGGTAAGTACCGTCGCCATTAGTTTCTGCGACGGTAAGGTGTGTTTTTTGCGACGGCATTTTTCCCGTCGCAAATAATGGGGAAAAAATCACTTTTCGCGACGGCACGTAATTCCCGTCGCTAAAAGTGAGTTTTTGAGACGGGAACATTACCGTCGTTAAAGGCTCTGGCATCTTATAAGTATTGGCGACGGCACGGTTTACCGTCGCTAAAGGTGTCCTGTACATTCAATAAGA